CCTACAATATTTGTTTCAATTTGTTTATATTGGTCCTGTAAAAACCTTGTTGGGGGAGTGGTCAGTTAATGTTATGATTAATATCGTAACTGTGAAACTCCTTTCTTTAGACAAACAGAAATGTTCACGAGATTACACGCTTTTGTTCGTGGCTTTCGATCTGGAAGAACGTCAACCTACCGTCAACACCAGCTGCTCAAAGTCAGGAAACTGCCCTTGTAGTGGTGGAAGTTGTGGCAGCTATTATTTCGTACAGAATTTCAGTCAGTATCTCAACAACAGTGGAGTTGGTTTCCAAGGAGCCATTGTTTTGGAAACCATTCTAAACTACAACACCACACCAAATTCTCAAGTGTTTCCTAGTGGTTTGAAGCCGTATTTTACAGAGACATACAACAAAATATCACAAAATGGGTTCACGGGTGACTTCTTGGCTTTAATTGGTCGGTCAACATATGACAGAAGACTCATCGATGGAATAACAAATGCTTTCAAGGAAGACGGTATGTTCTTGTAGTGCTTTGTTACTATCGCTCGATATCTTTTACTTTGGTGAAGCCAAATTGCTTCCACTCTTAAGAAAGCACCAAGGAGCATAAAAATTTTGCATTGTTTTAATTTTTCAGCAGGACTTGTGGATTGTCCTTGATGTGCAAATGAATCACCGGAAAATGTATTACCTTCACTCCAAATCCATTTACGTATCATTTATTGTGATTATTGTGTGTTCCCTCAACCTCGTTCCTAGGGTGCCCTCTCCTCTTCTCTCTGGGGGGGAAGAGAGAGGACCCTAGAAATGAGGTCGGTGTTGCCCTCTTTACTGATTAATCGACAAGTTAGTAAATTTGAAAGTCTTCCCGGCGTTTCTTTCCTTCTTGATCTGATCTAATGCTGTGTAATCAATTTTTAAACATATCGACCCAAAAACAAAAATGTTTTTCCGCAAAACAAAGTCTCAAAAAAATTACAGATCTTCAAAATGGGACCCTCGCAGAATTTTAAGGTGTGCCACATTGCCGAATCTTGATAAAAGGACATTGCAGGATTAAATATGTATATTGGATTGTTGTTTCAATCTTAATTTCGTATTAAGTTTCAAGAAAATCTGTTTTCCCTCATTTTCTAGAAAACTTTCTAACAATTGCCATGCCTATACCCAACTTGTTTCCATCTGGTCGACCGGACACTTGGCCCGAAAAAATTAGGCAAGGTATGGGGGATTTCTTTCGTTCCGACCATTACTATTTCTGGAATGCGAAGCCAACATTACCAGCGATCTTTGTCACAGACTCTGCGGATTTCCGAGGATTCATGAAAAAATGTTATCATAACGCCTGTGACGACATGAGTCACGTGACCCCAGAGATGATGATGTTTTTGGCGCGAACAACAAACAGCGTGGCTAAACTGGTCTCCAACATGACAAATGAAAAGTGCGAAATGAAAAAGGCTGGTAAGTTTTACTTGACATTATGATGTATGATATATAATTAAAATTTTAAGCCCTGTCAAATATTTGGCTGAGGCTTCGGCCTTTAGTACAATTATACTATATCAATGGATAGCGTTGAAGGTGTGCTCTGATTGGCTACTCAAATACCAAATTTCCTTTGTTAGTATGTACAACACAAGTGAATAGTGCTTGTCGCGCGCTGATTGGCTAGTTCGGAAATGAAATGCAAGTACCAAGATAATTACCATTCACCTCCACTTCGGTAAATAATTAGTAACTATTCCGACCATAGTTGAACATTATTATAAACATTATTAACAGGCTCGGTTAATGTCTACTACAAGCCACCTCCGCTCGGATAACAGATTATTTCCTTGCTTTTCTGTTTTGCCTTCCCTTTACTCAACATTTTAATGAACCTTGAATAGTCATTTAATATAAGTATTACAACATATTTTTGGTTTCAATTACTTAATTTACTTCTGGATTTGTACAAAAATTTTAATCAATGAACTTCCTTGGGGCTTGAGACTCAAAGTTTGTCATTTAGCGGTAAATAATCAAAATTATTCACCGACGTGGAGGTGAAAAGTAATGGATATTTACCACTTTCAATGGCTTTGA